CTCTTGAACCAAGGGCTCACTAATTTTACTAGTCTAGGGGATCCCCGTCTCTACCTCCTGAACTCCGGAGTTACAGGCAGGCCACTACACCTGCCTGGCATTTACATGGGTGCTGGGGATTTGAACTCTGGTCTTAATGCTTGCACAGCAAGCACTTTACCCACTGAGCCATCTCCCAGTTCCACTATCAAGCTTTGTGACTCTGCCTCACTCCTACTGTTTTCCCCACAAAAAGGAGGGAATTCTCTCCACCATTCTTTTTTTTTAATATTTCATTTATTTTTATTTTATGTGCGTGCGTGTACTGCCTGCATGTAGGTATGCGCACCTGTGTCATGAAATGCCCGCGGAGGACAGAAGAGGCTATCGGATCCCCTGGAACTGGAGTTACAGACAGTTGTTAGCTGCCGTGTGGGTGCTGGGATTCAAACCCGGGTCTTCTGCAAGAACAGCCAGTGTTCTTACCCGCTGAGCCATCTCTCCAGCCCCTCCACCATTCTTTTTTATTTGATTTAAATCTTTTTTTTTTTTTTTTTTTGAGACAAGGTCTCCCTGTATGTAGCCCCAGATGGCCTGTAACTCACTACATAGACCAGGCTGGCCTTGAACTCACAGAGATCTGCCTGCCTCTGCCTCTGCTGGGATTAAAGCTGTGAGCTACCACACCTGGCTACTTTGCTTTGTTTTTTAAGGCAGGGTCTCCTTGTAGCCCCAGCTGGCCTGGAACTTGATATATAGACCAGCCTAGTCGCTCTCTTATAGAGGTTCACCTGCCTCTGCCTCCCAAGTGCTGGAATTAAAGGTGTGTGCTACCACACAAGGCCCTGATTCAAAATGAAACAGGGTCTTGTGTAGCACAGCTGGTCTCAAACTTTCTGTGTAGTTCAGGCTGGCCTTGAACTCCTGATTTGCCTGTCTCCACCTCTCAAGTGCTAGGGATTACAGTCCTTTGTCACCTCATCCAACTTCCATCTTGGACAAAAAAGGTTTCTTTTCCCAGAGCTTCTAGCAGTTTCTCCTTCCGTTTCACTAGCCTAAATTATGTCACATATCTGTCCCCAAATACACTTTGACCAGACAGTGATACCAATTGGCTCTGACATTCAGAGCTACATCTGGATCTAAGCCAATGTGTATGTTGTTTGTGTGTGTGTGTCTGTCTGTCTGTCTGACCAAAATGTCTAAGAAAATTGTTGGGGTTGGGGCTTACATAGCTCAGTGATAGTGCTCTTGCCTAGCATGCACAAGGCCCTGGGTTCCATCCCCAGACACACACCCAAAGAAAAAGAAAAAGAGGGAGAGGAGCGAAGAGGAGGAGAAAAGAAGAAACCCTTGGAAGAGGTGCTTCGAAGAGCGGCCAGTGTCCCCCTCACTAGCACTGTAGGGCTCTGACTCTGCCCTTCTTTCCTTTAATTGTTTCCTTTAATACCCAAAAGGCTGAGATGAGAGTCAGGCCTAAGGAACACATCCAGGCTTGTGTGACCAGCAGGTGGGCATCTGCAGTTTTCCCCCAGGGTTGTCAGGTGGTGTCTGTCCTGGCAACGGTAACTACTGTTGGAGCACTCCGCAGTGCCTCCCAGATTTCTAACCAATGCCAAGATGTCAGGAGCAGGATGGAGAGTACAGAAAAACAGGAAAGGTGTCTCAGAGGAGAAGCCGAGTTCCACATTAATGCTATGGTGCCTGAGAGGCCTTAACACCTTGAGGCTCCTCCAACAGGCAGCTGGACGGTGAACTGCTCAGCAGAGAGGACTCTCTGAAAAGATGGAACCACTTTGGTGGGTATCGAGACCTTTGGCAGATAAAGCCCTGGGGACCCTCTTATTGACCATGGAAGAAAATAAGGCCCAAAGGATCACTAGGAAGACAGTTGGCTGTCCAAGAGTGAAGAGGAAAAGGGGGGTGATGAAACAGATGCACATAGGCAAAGGGAAGACACCTCAGGAAGAGATGCATGACCTGTGTCTCACACAACAACAAAGGGAACGGAGCAGGTGGGCAGGGTCGTAGTCGTGCTCCAGGTTCTGCTGCAAGCGTCTAACATCCTGCCAACCTCCTCTGTGTTACTGTTACGAAGACCCCATTTGACAGATGGTGACCCAGAAGAGGGCATTGGGCAGGATCTGGTAGCTCCTTAGAGGTGGGACAAGGGCAGATGAGGTAGCATCCCTGCCCTCATTTTATTGTTTTGCTTTGGTTTTTGAGACAGAGTCTCACTGTGTAGCCCTGGCTAGCCTAGAACTCACTACATAGACCAGGCTAGCCTGGAACTCACAGAGATCCACCTGCCTCTACCCCTCTCAAACTGGAATTTAAGGCATGTACCATCATGCCCAGATTTCTGCCCTAATTTCTTTCAGGAAACTGATTTTTCCTTCTTGACTGATGGAGGTTGAGCTCTGACTAATCTAAGCTTCTAAGATGATCTATGATGCTACCCCAACTCCCCAGATCTGCTCAAGGGTGTTCAAGACACCTAATGGAAGCCAGTAAGATCCAGGACCAAGATTTTGATGGTTTATTTTGAGACAGGGTCTAGCAACGTAGACCTGGCTAGCCCGAAACTATGTAAATCAGGTTGGCTTAGAACTTACAGCAATTTTTCTGCCTCTATCTCCAAAATGCTGGGGTTATAGGCTTGTATTACTATGCCTAGCTTAAACCCAACACTTTTGTGTGTGTGTGTGTGTGTGTGTGTGTGTGTGTGTGTGTGTTTGCGTGTGTATGCATGTTTGGGTGTATGTGAAGGCACATAGATGTATGTGTGCAGGCCAGAGGTTGGTGTTGGCTGTCTTCTTCAATCACTCTCTACCATATATTTTGAGACAGGGTCTCTCAATGAATCTGGAATCCACCAATCCCAGAAAGCTCCAGGAATCCATCTGTCTCTGTCTCCGCAAGACTGGAATTCTAAGTATGGACTACTAAGTCCAGCTTTCTTCTTCTTCTTCATTTTTTTTTTTTTCCAATTTGGGTCCTAGAGATCACAACTTGGGTCCTCATGCTTATGTGTCAGCACCTTACCAATGGAGCCATCTCCCCAGTGCCCAGGCTCTGAAGGAAAGGGGCTGTTTCTTCTGTGCTAAGTCTGAAGTTAAGAAAATGTCAAGTTTGGAGGTTCTGCAACCGTCTTGCAGGCATGAGGAATAAGTCTATAGGGACCCACAAGTTCGGAAGCAGAGCTCAGCTAAGGCAGAAGGCAATGTAGCAGTGAACACCTCAAGCTGCACTGGAAGCCAACGTTACTCTGGAACTTTATTGTTACCGAACCAGTACATTCCTTCTCTGCCTTTGTAATTTGAGTTTGCTTTTCTACCGTTCATTAGGAGCAAAGTGTATCAGTTATCTATGAGTCTAAGTAATAAACCACCCCAGAGCTCAGTGGCTTAAAGTCAATCAGCTCAGTCCAACTTAGACTTGCCTGGGTAGTTGTTTTGGTTGTTTTTGGTTTTTTGTTGGTTTTTGTTTGTTTTGTTTTATTTTTTGAGACAAGGTCTCCCTGAAGCCACAACTGGCCAGGATTACCTATGGAGACTAGGCTGGCTTTGAACTCACAGAGATCCTCCTGCCTTGTGCCACCATGGCTAGTTATTTATTTATTTATTTAATTTTTTGGAATTTTTGAGATAGGGTCTCCCTGTAGCCACAGCTGGCCTGGAACTATGTAGACTAGGCTGGCCTCAAATTCACAGAGAACCACCTCTGCCTCCCAAGTGCTGGGATTAAAGATGTGCACCACAACTGGCAGCAATCAAATTTACTAAGTGATTAATTTGTGCCAAATTCTAGACTGAAAAATCTCCCTTCCCACCATGCCCATTTAGGGAATGAGGAAAGTGACCATAGACATCCTATGCCTGCCTTAGACATTGATATAGTACATGACAGACCCAAGTTCACCTATGGTCAGTGGCGGATGCTTTCTGCACATGTGTGGTCTGAGGAAGAAGATGGAAAAAAGGCGGAAGGAGAGGGATGGGGCCAGAGACCATCATGTTCCTTCCCTGACTTGGGCTTGTGTCCGGCTTGGCCACCAGCTTTAGTTCCATCATGCTCCCACCACTTAAGTAAGTAATGTCTGAAAAAATCTAAAAACTAATGTCGGTAAATGATGATAACGAAGGGCATGACAGAGTTCTAAAACTTGATGGTCACTGTTGCCCTCTTCTGGCCAGGTTAAGGTGTCTACATCTCAACTTCGGTGGAATTCACCCTCTACCCCACCATAACCACCCACTCAGCAACTTCCTGAATTTTGACAGTGTGGCCAGAGGCTGGCACTTCTGGTCTCCGATGGTTCAGGCATCAGGTCACCAAGTGCTGTCACTCTTCCTGCCTCTGGACCTGCCACAGAGGCTTCACAGTCACCCCAGAGAGGACCCAGGCAGCATTTGATGTCTGTCCTGCCTCCTCTCACTACCTCCCCCCCATTTCTTAGAGACTGTCCTGAGAATCCAGCCAGGTCAATGCCAGACTGGTGCCCACACAGGCAAGAGACACTTCTAGCCCCTGCCCTGCAAGGCCTCAGAGGCTGCTGTAGCTCAAGTCCAAGGGCAGAACCCAAGATTGTTCCTGGAGGGAAAGTCACTGTCCTCCAGAAGACTGGCACTGGGGACTCAGGACCAGAACCTAAACATCTGTGTGACAGCCAAGGGGGAGGATCCAGAGGCAAAAGCATAACATCTGACGCTCTGAGAAGAACTGAGTCACCACCAAAGTCACCCAGATCCCAGTTCTAGAACACAGGCTTCCTTCTTCCTCCTGTTAAGACAGAGGCCCAGCGTCTGCCATTACACCCATAGGAGAGAGACTCATCTCAGGTTGGGGGTGACCGCATCCTTAAGTGAAGGGGCTGGGTACTGCTTCCTTCCCCTTCTCCCCAAACAGCCAGTCTTTGGGAGGGCTCATACCTCATTGGTCCAGACTTGGCAGCAAGACGAGTCACCCATTCCCATCCCTCTCTGCCCTGGAGTACCCACAAACTGGCCACACACACACCCTTCAGACTTCGCAGCTGTTTTATTATTAATATTATCTTCTCCTTTAAGCATCCCTTTAAGGGTGAAATGAAATTCAACCATTTACAGAGAAAATGATTTCAGAATGTACATATTGATTTTCCTTTACAAAAAAAAATACTATTATTATTGGTGTCCTTAAATTATACATTTCCCAGAGCCCTGCTATCTGCTTGGGTGAGTCCTGTCTTCCCACCCTGACTCTCACCTTTGTTCCCAAAGCTTCACTATGCCTGCCCCTGACACCAATATGATCCCTGGGTGAACAAGGCCAGCTTAATGCCTGGTGTGGACAGGCCTCCTTAGGTCTAGAGGTCACAGGCCAGTGGTTCCTGGGGAGTATGCCCACATTCACATTCAATTCATTTTCCCTTCATATTAGGGGAATGGTCTGGGTTTCCCCCCAAATTCCCAGTGTATGCTGTGGTTATATGTTAAACTCTTCAGACCCCACCTTTCACAGCTGGCCCCTTGGCCAGGTCTCCTCCTGCCTAGCCTTGGCCACAGCCTTCCCTCCACAAGTCTGAGGGGGAAGGCCAGCTGGGAAGGTCTGTGCTTTCCCAGTGCCCTTCCCCCACTCTGAACTGTGGGCAGGAACCCTGATGGCCTCGGGAGGGTATCCACAAAGCAGCTGAAGGTGCCAGGAATATGGGGGTGAGAATGCCATTCAAGGCGGAGGCATGGCTCAGAAGCACCCAGAGGCTGCCTGTCACAGGGTAAGTAGACACAACTTAGGAGAGTGCCCTGGATCAGATAGACCCATAATCTCAGGGACCCCCTGAGACACCAAGAGGAACCAGACAGGGAGGCTGCTTTGAAGGGGGAGATTCCATGGGTGGTGTTTCCTAAATGGAAGGGGAAGAGCCATAGCGTCCCTCAGCCTGCTTCATGCCTGCCTACCAGAGCTGCTCCGAGGTTGGTTCCTCACACCATGTCCATGCATGGCACACAGTCCCAGACTGAGCTATAAAAAGCAAATCCCCCAGCAAGCCCTGATATGAGATCCATCCAGGAAGTGGGAGGATCAGTGAGACAATGTGGTTGGCCAAGAGGGGGCTGAGGGGGCAGTGGGCCCTGAGCTGTACAGTCTTCTAGCCAGGAGGATTCCATTCCTCAGACTGAAAAACAGACAGACAGACAGACAAGACAGGCCCTGCACTGCTTTTTCCCTTGCTTTAGAGGTTCCCCAAGGGCTTCCTGCCTCAGGCATCTTAGAGAGCCACAGAAGGCTCCAGGTCCCAGGTAAGAGGACACTGAACCTGTGCTCCCACACCAACACACAAGCATCATTTATGTACAGGGACACATGAATACAGACATGTACAAATACACACCAAGCATGCACCCATGCCCATAAATATACACACACACACAAACAGGCAGCCCTGCATACTGGCATCAAGGGAACATCTAATGGGGCCTCAGGGAGGGGTACCCATTCTTCTCACATACCTGTAGATGGAAGATGGGGAGTGGCTCATTCAGAACAAGAGCAGGGTCCCATGATGTAGTCACTTGGACCCCTCCCCCAGAGGTGCTACTGGTTCTCCACAATCACCCTCTTCTTCAGTAATAAAACTCCCAAGTTGAGGTGGGGCATATGGCAGCCCAGTTTGGAACTACATTTCCCAGTTTCCTTTGCAGGTACCTGTGGCCATGTGGCTAAGTCCTGACCAGTAAGATGCCTTCAGAAGCATTTCTGGCTCATCTTCACAGTAAAGGCTTTGTACTTCCCCCTGGCTTTATCATACGAGCTGGTGCAGCCACTCTATCCAGAATTGCAAGGTGTGTGTGAGGCAAAGCAAGCTGCCTGTCACTCTGGACCATCTCCCTCTAGACAAATTAATTAGAAACAAGTTCACTGTTTGCTGGGGTCTCCTACAGAAGCATACTATCTGCTCCAACAAATACACAAGGAAAACGAAAAGGAATGGGTTGACATACAACTGACCTTAATGTCTCTTCTTGGACCCCCAGGAAAACCTCCTGGCCCCTAGCATGCCCAGGAGGAACACAAGAATGATTCTACCTGGGATGGTGGTAAAATGGGACTGGGTGCCAGCAGGGAGTTGATGGAGATAGAGAGATGTTGAAGCCTCTTATCAGTCTCCTTCCCCCAGGTCTTCCCTACTACGACTAGCTGTCCATACATCCTCCAGCTCCCATCCCATCTTGAGAACTGGACCTCTTGAGGAGTCCTTCTTGCAAGCAGCTGAATGGATATTCCACGGACAGCAACAGGAAAAGTGAGAAAATCACTGAGGCCAGATTTGGAGCCAGAGGGAAGACTCCCCCGGGGTTCCCCAGACACCCAGCATGTCAGCTTATAGGGACAGGAGCTGGGACAGCCTCTAGCTCCATCCTCCCAGCTGGAAGTGGCCTCATCCCATGGGTCCAGCACTTCTGAGGATACTGCAAGTGTCCCCAGCTGTCTCTCAGCTGGGTACTATTTCCCATCACTTCTCTGTCTTATGGGCCAAGATCAAGTGCCAATACCCTTTCCTGTCCCTCCTTGCTAAGTGTTTCTTCTTGCTCCTGGCCCCAAATGCATCTATTTACAGAGCCCTGGGAATGCCTAGCATGTATGCCCCCTTTCCCATAGCAGGTCCAACAATTCAGGATGTCAAAGGTGAGCTTCCCTTAGTCAGGTTGCAGTACCACATCCCTCCCCACTCCCAGACACCACCATGCTCCCCCTAGGGGCAACTCTTGCCCACAGCACTCTTGGGGACAAAATGCTGCATAGATGATTGTACTTGCTCCTCTCTTCTGGCAAGGATTTTTCCTTCTTTTTTTTTTTTTTTTTTTTTTTTTTTTTGACCCTTAATTCACAAGCGCTTGAGTAGAGAGGGCACCCACAGCACTCCTGGATCCCTTTTAAGAGCCTCCAGCAGGCAGAAGGAGATCAAACGTAAGAACGGAGTAGCTTTTGCCTCACCCTGGCTGGCCCTGTAAAATCACACAGCCCTAGCCCTCCACTGTGTCCAACTTGCCCCTTGCAGCAGGTGGCCTTCCCTCCAAACCTGGGCTCCTATGCCCACCCTCTACCGTGCTCCTGGGTTCCTGGTAGGGGTTGTCCAACAGGTATCGGAACTGGTTGTAGTGTTTGAGCAGATACTTGGGCGCATACATGTGCTCGCTGGGGTCTGCTGGCGGGTACTCCTGCTGTGTGCCATCAAACCAGCCCCCGGTGCGGATCAAGTTGCGTATGTAATTGAGGTCCCGCTTGTCCTCGTAGTCACCCCAGCGGGGAAAGTCACCGTTCTGGGCGGACACGAGTTTGAAGTAGATGCCCTCGGGTGTGAAACACCAGGAGCAGTGCCAGCCCGCGAAGTGCAGGGGGCTGCCCAGCGACCACTGCACCAGGATGTGGCCAGTGCGGTTCTCGTACTGGCGGAAGTTAGGCATGGTGTAGTACTGGCGACGACGCAAGCGGATGCCATCCAGCCCGTACACCGCCTGCAGCATGTCCACTGTGCAGCCTGACACCACCTCCAACGTGCCCGGCTGCTTCCAGAAGAAACCATACAGAGACTTGCGCATGTGGAAGGCGAAGGGCTCGGTCCAGCCGTCGTAAAGCTTGAGGAACAGCACGCCGTCCCGCGCGGGGATCTCATCCGCGTCGTCGATGATGAAGACGTCATCCGGCCGCAGGTTGCGCAGACGAGAGACGCCGTCCTGGGTGAGGAAGGTGCGCAGGTAGTCGTCGGCAATCCAGCCATCCTGCCGGCCACCCAGAGGAAAGTGGTCCAGGAAGACGTACAGCACCTTATGGCGGATGTACTCGAAAGTGCCATTCGTCAGCATCTCTCGGAACTTGAGCGGCCGAGGCTCGCCATAGGCCGTGAAGTTGGACTCACACACCACGAAGGCGTCCACCACGTCCCCCAGCTCATGGAAGCGCACGTCCAGCAGGTCAAACTCGTGGTTGATGTTAATGGCATTGATGACCCGCCGTGGCACCTCCCTGGGCACCAGGCGCTCCTTGGTGGGCAGGTTGGAGTACTGCACCACGGTGGGCACCCCGCAGCTGGGTCCGTGCCAGCCGGGCAGGCACACGCACTCCACCCACTTGCGCCTTGGGCTCCGGCCACCAGGGCGCTCTCGGGCGCTCAGTACATGCCTCGTGGGGCGTCTCGGGGGACCCCGTGCCGAGGAGCCCTCAGCCACTTCCGGCTTCTCTGGCCGCCCCCAGGATGGCTTCTCCAGTATCTTGGTGCCTTGTTTGAAGCAGACACCCCCGGCTTTGGTGCGCACGAAATATTCGGTGGTGTCCTCGGGCAACACAAAGTCCATCCGGTGGAGTTCCTCGGTGGCCTTGCTGGGGGACAGTGGCTGGAGCAGGGGGGAGTGGGAATACAATGGAGTCCGCAGCAGGTCAGGGCTACCTGGCTCGGGACTGGCCTGGGGCGTAACAGGCGCATTGTTCCAAAAGAAGCTGGATACTAGGTTAGGGCTGAGGGACGCCAGTTCTCTTGGGAAGGTGACGTAGGATAGGGTTTTAAAGAAGTGCAGAAAGGAGATGAGGCACAGGCCGGCCATACAGAACATGAGAAAGAGCTTGTAGCGTCTCATCTTCATCCTGTGGAAAGAGAGCCAGAAGTCAGGGCAGCCTTGTCCTAAGGAGGACGCTTGAGGGGAGTCCCAACCCTGGTGAGAAAGAATGTCCTGTACTAGTCACCTACCTTCTGCCATCTAAAGGTTCACTCGCTGCACAAGACCCTCAAAGTCCATCAAGGAAGCTGCTCCCTGCTCCCACAGCCCTAGCTCTCGAAAACACCCCCCAACCCCACCCCAGAAATCTTTCCCAGGTGCAGCTTCCTCCTCTACCTGGAGCCACACCCTGTCAGCAAACTGCAGGGCTAGACTTGGCTCCTGGAGCCCAAAGCAGGCAGGGAAAATCTCTTCCTTGAGGGTAGCAGGTCACAAAGATTAGAGGTGGAGGTAGGAAGCTGGCTGCAAAGCTGCCCCAGGGGGCTTGTCTCCACTGCCCAAGAGTGCTGTTTCCTGTGTATGAGTAGGAGCTTGCATGTGTGATTGTAGTGCATGCATGTGAGTGTGTGTGTGTGTGTGTGTGTGTGTGAGAGAGAGAGAGCGAGAGAGAGAGACAGAGACAGAGAGAGACAGAGAGAGAGAGAAGCTCATCCCTATAGGGTAGCAGGTCATAAGAGTTGATTAAGTTGATTATACTCTTTGGTTTTGAGACAATCTCACACTATAGCTCAGGGTGGCCTGGAATTCAAGGCAATCTTCCTGCCTCAGCCTCACAGTCCTGGGATTGCAGGTATGAGCCACAAGGCTCCAGCAATTTTAACTTCTTTTTTTTTTTTTTTTTTTTTTTGTCTGAGACAGGGTCTCACTGTGTAGCCCTGGCTGGCCTAGAATTCAATATAGACCAGATATGCCCCAAACTCAGAGATTTTAAGACTTTAAAAATAAAATCAAGCTGGGTGTGTAAGCACACACCTTTAATCCTAGCACTCAAACAACAGATTTCTGAGTTTCAACCAGCCAGGGTAGTAAGCTCTGTCCCAAAAATGAATGAATGAACATGCCTTTAAAATGAGCACGTCCATGTGGCACACACCTTTAATTTCTGCACTGGAGAGGCAGGAGGCAGAGGCAGGAGGATCTCTGAGATTGAGACCGGGGGGAAAAAAAAAAAAAAGAATGAATAATGAGTAAGTCAAGGTTCCTGTCACTGCTAAACTGATCTCTAGCTATAAAGGAGATGGAGCAGTGCTACTTCTCTGATGGTCCACTTTTCTGTTCTTGGTTTAATATATTCACAGATCTTACCATATGTGACAGTAAATTCAAAGTTGTTTTCCTCAAACAATGATAGTTTTTAAAAAATATTTTATTTTAGTTGGGGTTTTTTTTGTGGTCTTTTTGAGACAGGGTCTCCCTGTAGCCCCAGCTGTCCTAGAACTCACTATGTAGACCAGGCTGGCCTTGAACTCACAGAGATACACCTGCCTCTGCCTCCTGAGTGCTGGGATTAAAGGCATGCGCCACCACACCCAGCTTTATGTGTATTTTTATGTGTATTTTATGTGTGTATGTATTGCCTACATGTAGGTAAGTGCACCCATGTCATGCGATGCCCAAGGAGGACAGAAGAGGCTGTTGAATCCCCTGGAACTGGAGTTACAGACAGTTGCTAGCTGCCATGTGGGTGCTGGGATTCGAACCCAGGTCTTCTGCAAGAAGAGCCAGTGTTCTTAACCACAGAGCCATCTCTCCGGCCCCAATCAATGATAGTTTTAAAAAGATTTTCGCTGGGCATGGTGGCACACGCCTTTAATCCCAGCACCTGGGAGGCAGAGGCCAATCAATGATAGTTTAAAAAAGATTTTCGCTGGGCATGGTGGCGCACGCCTTTAATCCCAGCACCTGGGAGGCAGAGGCAGGTGGATCTCTGTGAGTTCAAGGCCAGCCTGGTCTACATAGTGAGTTCCAGGACAGCTGGGGCTACAGGGAGACCCTGTCTTAAAAAGACCACACACAAAAAAAAAATTAAATTAAATCCCGCACAGAACTCTTGGGTTGTTTGGGGGTTTTTTGTTTGTTTCTTTTTTTTTTTTTTTAATGAATGGCTCTACTCACTGATGTGGGATCTGACCATTTGCTATTCATTTGTACAGTTTAATTTATCAATTAGCTTATGAATGTGGCTGGAGATGAGAGAAATAATTACAAGGAATTTAAATCTTTTCTATCAAAAGAATGATCACAATGGAAATGCATGCCTTTAATCCCAGTACTCAGGAGGCAGAGGCTGAAGCAGGCAGATCTCCCTGAAGCCAGTTTGATCTACCTAGCAAGTTCTAGGCCAGCCAGAACTACATAGTAAGATTCTATCTCAAAACAAACAAACAAACAAACAAACAACCACAGGGATTTAACGTCTATAATGCTATCTTGTAATCTTCCCCACTTTATAAATTTTTTTTATACAAAAGCCCAAATGCATTTCCAGAACCTGATGGCCCTAAGCAGCCAGCCCCCTGACCCCCTTCCTTTATTTCCTTCATGCCAATGCTTTGAAAACTAACTAACCAAGAAAGACTGAGGTCAGACCCCAATCAACAGGGGAAAGACACAGTACCTTGCATTAGGAAAATAACATAGCCAGTTTCCCACTCAGTGGGCTTGTTCGCTACCCAAATGAGGCGATGCACCCTTTTGCCAAAGTAAAAACTGCCTTGCTGAGCTTCCATCTCTTCGTCCGAGTGTTCTTTGTTTATTATCAGCGGGGTCCTTGGACCTCAGATTTTATTTCCCAATAGAACTGCTTATCTCCTTATAGCTTAAATAAACCTCCAGTTTGGGAATATTTGTGTTTTTTCCAGATAAGTTGCAAAAACAGGACAGACAGCCCCTTGCATGCTTCTCTTCTCCCCTATTGCTAGTCTATACCTCAAGACACTTGTCACAAGGAGGAAACACACACTGACCTGTCACTATTGGTCAAACTCCATAATGAGACTTTTATTGTTATTTTGGTGGGGGTTTGGTGCTGAGGATAGAACCCAGAGGCTCCATCATACTAAGCAGCATGTATTCTACCACTGGCTACACTCCAGAGAATGTATTTATCTCACTGAGTGCTTATCCTGTGGTCATCTTGTGTAGGGAATGTACTGCTGACTGGAAGAATCCAGTCCATCTTAGCCTGGAGCTAAGAGAAGTCACATATATCCTTGTGACTCATGAAATGACCTGGAAGGATCACTACTTGCCTAGAGGTTGGGAGGGGCACACTAGGTGGCATAAAGGACTGGGATAGGAACCTGGTCTTTGGCCTCTGGAGCTGTCTTTCGAACACATTTCTTCCTTCCACCAACATTCCTTCCTTAAAATGTTCTTTTCAGGGCTAGGGATCTAGCTAAGTAGTAGAGTACTTTCTTGTGCAAGGCCCTGGGATAAAACTCCAGTAACACAAGAAAAACAAACAAAACGTTCTTTTCTGTAGTTTGTTTGGTTCTCTCTCCAGGTCATCTCTGTGTCCCACCATACTGTCGCCATTTCTGAGGGCAGCAGGGTGTAATGGAAAGATACACTCTTGACCAGAAGCAAGCTCCTCCCTGGGATGAGGGCCTGGAGTTTCTGGTGCACCACGGATGCTCAGTACACTTTTGTCCTTTAAACACTCCAGGCTAGAAACCCCCAACAGGATCTTCTTCCAGCTACATGGTCCTAAGGCACACCTTGCTGAAATATTTGATCCAGAAATCAGCTTTCAAAGACCATCTCTCTGACCAGGACCTGGGGTAGTTCAGGGAGAAGTACACAGGCCTGTGGGTGAGGTGGGGGCTTCCTCCTGCTTCTGCATCTTCAGAGGCTTCACCTCCAAGAAGGTCCCTGAGCAAACAATAGTCCACCTGCTAATCCTGCGGGGCAGGCCACAAGGTATCCCTCTGTCTCCAGTTTAAACGCCTGTGCCCTCACCTGCCTAAGTGGGGCTAGTGCAGCTGATTGTAGGCAGGGAAAACAGTTGGGGGGGTCACTTGGGGGGGTGGAAGTGGGATAGCTGACCTCTGCTAAATTTCAGCTGTCCCAAGGCAGAGGTGGGGATTGGTGCACTAGTCTGGGGGAGAAAGGAGCTGCTCCTTGGCAACATCCCAAAGTGGGTCCCAAGGACTCCTTTCCACATGCTGTATTCCAGCCCGTTTGGAGAAGCGAGGCCAGTTAGGCCAGGCCTGATGAGGGCAGGTGGACGGGATGCCTTCTGTGGCAGCAGCAAGCAGGCAAGAGGCAACACTGGTGCCCAAGGTATTGGCAGTGGAAGCCTACAGAATGACGGCCCATGTGTGCAGGGCCCAAACACAATAGTCCTTCTGGAGGACTCTTTCTTTCTACATGGCCTGCTTATACTGGGCCCACAGCCCAGTACTGGTTGTACTGAGTTAGCTCATGAGCTACTGAAGTGCAGGGCAGGGGCTGCCACCCAGACTAAATCCCCTAGTGGCAGCAAAGACAGGGTGAAAGGAAGGGAACTTCCTGCTGGGTAGAAAGGGCTCTTCAGGCCCATGAGGTCAGACTGACCCAGCTGCCCCAGGCTCTGGGGTCAGGCTGGCTGTTGAGATCTGGTTACACCTGGCCAGCTATGCTTTTCAGAAGACAGGCTCACCAGATTCTGGATCTCTCCTGACTCTTTGGGTCTCCCTATATACTTCTTGATAAAGTCAGGTTCCATGTTGAGACCCATGGAACTAAGCATGTTTCTCTCATCACTCAGGCTGCTAGGAGGCTTAAAAGCCCAGAGCAAGTCAACAACACCTCTAGACCACATTCTCTTGGACTCCTTCAATTATGGATTCATGTGGCATTTGGTGGGGGGGTTGTTGGGTTTGGTTTTTGTTTTTTTTTTTAATCATTTATTTTATTAAATGCCTCGAATACATTTTTTTGGACTAAGAACACATGTGAAATGGAGTAACAAATACTGGCACTCAGGGCCTTGTTTAAATCTCTCAGTCCCAGAGAGGTCACCATGACCATGGTTTTTTACTGACGGGGAAACAGGACTTGGAAGGATGACGAGACTTTCCACAAAGCATATTGTAACAAAGAGCG